GGGGGAACTTGAGAGTGGAGAGACGGAGGGAGGGAGTGAGCTAAGGAGCTTGAGTAGCTGCGTTCATGGTGGCTGGGTTGATTTAGGAATCTTGGATTAATCAACGACTGCCTTTTCCGCACACTCTACTTCTCACCCCTCCGCCACCCCTCTCTCTCTCTCGCCCTCTCAGGGCCAGGCAGTGCGGAGGGCGCTAGCAGAGGTGCTGGTGGGGCAGAAGGGCGTGGTGTTTGAGGCAGCACTGGCGAGCGATGAGGATAACATCATGGGGGCTGCAGGGGGTCTCAGGCGAGCCAAGTACTGCCTCTCCCCTGAAGGTGCGTATGAAAGAACTTGTGACATGTTTGAGATGCTTGGCATGTTTGCCACCCCCAACTCAAACCATCCCCAGCCGCTCTTCCCCTCTCCCTCTCCTCTTCTCAATCCCCTCTCTTCCCCCTCTCACACCACCATCCCATAACAAACCTGCTTGTTCCCACCTCGCCGTTTCCCTAAGCCCCTGCCTCTCCCCCCTCCCGCTCCCCTTCCCGCTCCCCCTCCGACTCCCCAACCCCCTCCCCACCCCCACCAGGTGACACCTCGTCCAGCTGTCGCCTGTACGACAGCATCCTATCGGGGTGCATCCCAGTGGTGGTATCAGACAGCATCGAGCTGCCCTTCGAGGACGCCTTAGACTACTCCTCCTTCGCCCTCTTCGTCCCCACCGCCCTCGCTCTCCGCCCCGGCCACCTGCTCGAGCTGCTGCGGGGGCAGAGCCGCACGCAGTGGCAGCGCAGATGGTCCAACATGAGCCGAGTGAGAGAGGAGGGGGTGGGAGGGCATGGCGGTGGGGTGGGGAACGGTGCGGTGGGGTTGGGTGGGGTGGGGTGGGGTGAGGTGGAGTGGAGTGGGGTTAAGAGCAGTGGGGTTGTGCCGGCCCTGCTGCAAGGGCAGAGGCAGCGCAGATGGTCCAACATGCGCCGGGTGAGAGAGGAGGGGGTGGCAGGAGGAGATGGTGCGGTGTGGTGCGGTGGGGTGAGGTCGGGTGGGTAAAATGGGAATGGTGGGGGTTTGAGAAGGGCGGGTGGTGATTCTGGGCGGGCAGGGAAAACCTTAATTACTGCTCATAACCTACTGTTTCTCACTCGACTCATTTTCCTCCCTACTTCCTCATACCTATCCCATGGGTTTCTTCCCCCCCACTAATTAACAACCATCCATTGTTCCACCCCTTCTGACCCCCTCTTTCCCCCAATCCCCCCAACCCCCCTTCTCCCCGCCATGCCAGCTGCGCAAGCACTTTGAGTTCTCATCACCACCCGAGCCGGGGGGAGCGGAGGACACGGTGTGGCGAGCAGTGTCGCGGCGCATGCGGGGCAGCACGGGGAGCGCAGGGGCGCAGCGCAACCGGCGGCAGCGCCTGCGGCTGCTGCTGCGGCAGCTGGCACACTACGGGCTGAATGCTTCGCACCTGCAGCAGCCCGTGCACGTGCGCCCACCCGTGCACTTGTAGCGCGATTCTCTCTATATGACTGAGTCGTCGCCTCTAGGATGTGGCAGTTTGGCACACCACAGGCTGAATGCCTTGCACCTGCAGCAGCCTGTGCACGTGTGCCCGCCCGTGCACTTGTAGCGTTCAGTGGTGTCGCGTGCTCCTAAGCCTTCTCTAGGTTGTGTGTGTGCCTGCCTGCCGGTGCTCCTCTAGTGTGCGTGTGGGAGGCACGGGGGGAGGAGAGAAGGAAGGGTAGGAGGCAGAGGAGGTGGGAGGGAATGGGGTGGAGAGGGAGGTGTGGATGGGGAGAAGGGGTAGAGGAATAATTGTGGAGTGTGGGGCTTTTTGTGCTAGGTTTGGTGCACTTCTGGTGACTGCTAGCCATAAATTGTATCGAGGTCCCATAAGGAATTGCACACAGCATCTACACATGTAATGTGCTGCTGCCACCATGTGTAGGTCTTGACAATCGCACTGTACTATACTGCACTGCACTGCACTGCGGTTCACGCTTCACTGGAAGGAGGTTCACAGATCTTGGATGGATGGAAACCACCCTCCACCTTCCAGTAAGCCTTTCAATGGAACAGCAGCATAATGCGGCGGAACGCACGCACATTCAACGGACCATGTCAGGAGAGCGTGGTGTCAAGAGGAGAGAGTCTGCCTGCCTGCCATGTACCGGTACCGGTACACCCTAGGAGGAACTTGGAAGCACGTTATACTATACCACCCCTGCGGTCGTCACTAGGACCTCGAACACCCCTTGGCCACGCACACGTGATTTTACCCTAGCATAGAGGTGCTGTACATAAAATAGTACCTATCAGTCGGTCAGCTTGGCTGTGTAGTGCATCTTCTGTCCGGAAAAATAGAGGCAGCCAATGGAATCTTATGCAATCTACACATAGCAATGCCTTGTTGGGCTGGTACAGTGGAGGTCAATGCACTATTCTGGTTGTCAAAAGCATAGAGCCAGGCACCCTCCTGGTAGCCCGTGCAGGGCTACAACAATTGAGGATTTAGAGGGGCAAAGGCAGCTGCTTTCACAGAAACTATGTAGGGGGTTTCGCGCACGACAGTGCAGTTGAACTTGAGGGACCTCGCCGGTGGGATGACCACCGCACCATCAGGTGCTCCCAGTGGAGGGCGTACCTGCGAGGGAAGGTAGGGAGGGGGGAATGGGGAAAGGGAATTGGATTGGAATTAATGATGGGATGGAGATGGGAAGGGAGGGAGGTAAGTGGGACGAGGGAGGGAGGGAGAAGGTTCATGTGTGCGATCGAGAAGGATGGGGGAGAGAGAGAGAGAGAGAGAGAGAGAGAGAGAGAGAGAGAGAGAGAGAGAGAGAGAGAGAGAGAGAGAGAGAGAGAGAGAGAGAGAGAGAGAGAGAGTTTTGCGGCGGCCTCTCCATCTCTCATTCTTACAGTTAGTGCTGAAAATTTTCAGCTGGCCTTTGCCGTGTGGAGAGCTCGTGGCCGACTGCAGCCTACCCAACCACCTACTCCGCTGCAGCATAGGCCCGGACAGAACGTGCACACACAATCAGCTGGCCTTTGCCGTGGCAAAAATGGCGAGGGAGGCGCAGCTGGTGGTATACCTGGAGAATGCAATGTACTCACCGCCGGATGACCCGAAGAAGGCCGATGTGATCGTGCGTGACCCAGACAGTGGAGAGACCTGGATCACAGACACGACTATCACCGACCCTGTGCTACAGAACCGGGACCCCACAGCCCGCAAACCCCCAGGCTGGGCTGCAAGGGAGGCTCAGAAGCGGAAGGAAAGGGATTACTACCAGCACACAGAACACGTGGTGTTCTGCGCCCTGGCCGTCGAGACCTATGGGGCAAACGCGCCCCCCACGACGGCGTTCCTGAAGCTGCTGGCCACAGCAGCAGCTAGGAACCGGTTCAGGGCTAACTCCCTGGCGAAATCGGCCAAGAAGAAGGCCTGCCACTTCAGCCAGCGCTGGTCAGTGGCCCTCCAGCGCTCCCAGGCGAATGCCCTGCACACCAAGGCCAGGGCAGGGATTGAGGCAGCGCACCCCCAGATGGCAGCGCACCCCCAGATGGCGGTTCACTCCCGCCGCTTCTTGAGAGTCATGCGCGAGGCAAGGCGGATGCGCCCCAACCCCCTTTCTAGCCATGCGCAACGGATGCAGTCGGTGCTAGGCCCAGGAGCGGGGGATTGGCTGCTGGCGATCCCGCTCATCCCCTCGCTCCGGATGGGCCCCTCCCAGCTCTCAACTGCAGCTGCCTTCCGCATAGGCCTCCCCCTCCCCGTGCCTAGACGCTGTGACTGCCGCTACCGCACCACCTTCCCCGATGACCGCCTCCCCAACCACCTCATGCGCTGCGAGAAGGGGAAAGGGAGGACCGCAACCCATCACGCTCTGCGGGATGAGATAGCGAACATTGGGGCTGAGACGGGTTTTACGGTTCACAAGGAGACGTATGTCTACTCACTGGTTGAAAACCTAAAGGCGGATGTCACCATCCGTCATCCGCTGACCGGGGAGGTTTGGATGTGCGACGTGACCGTGACGGACCCGATGTCATACCAGGACATGAACTGCAACCGAGCTCCTGGTTGGGCAGCTAGGGCGGCAGCAGCAAAAAAGGAGGAGAAGTACGCGCGGCGGAACGCGTGGGTGGGGTTCCACGCGCTCGCAGTGGAAACACACGGCTACCCCTCGCCGGGGGTGCTGGCTTACCTGCGGCAATGCGCGGAGCTGGCGGCAAAGCTGCGGTTTAACGCAGCCCCTACCTCCTACGAAGCAGCGAAGCTTCTGACGGAGTACCGCCAGCGTTGGAGCGTGTGCCTCCAGCGGGCACAGGCCAACACCCTCCGCACCAAGACCAATGAGGCCTTGGTGGCGGACGAGCTCGGCTTTAGAGGACCCATCATCCCTCTCAGTGAGGGACAGCTGCACCAGTTGATTGAGGCCTCGTTCGACCAGTAGGGTCAAACAGGGGGGGGGCAGAGTAGGTAGGGGACTTGAGATAGTTTGGATGCCGGTGTTCTGTTGTGCTTGTGTGTTTTGCACCTTCCGTTGTACCACACCCCAAAGAAATGCAAGGACCATTCGAGAGAGAGAGAAGGCCTTAGCATTCAGCCCTCTCCCTCTTCCCTCTGCCCTCTCCCTCTGAGCCTATTTAAGGGGCCCTCTGTGCCTTCCCTGACTCATTATTTCGTGCGTGTTTCATTTTCGGCGGGAGAATGAGCGAGAGAGAGAAGGCCTTAGCATTCAGCCCTCTCCCTCTTCCCTCTGCCCTCTCCCTCTGAGCCTATTTAAGGGGCCCTCTGTGCCTTCCCTGACTCATTATTTCGTGCGTGTTTCATTTTCGGCGGCTCGCGCCGGCGGCCGAAGGCCGCCGCCGCTCGCAAGCGCGGCCTTCGGCCGCACGTTCCTGGTGGCAAGACACAACACGTGGATTCGGCTTACAAAGGGCACACACACACACAAAAGCAACGGAGCTGGGCAACAGCAAGAGGCGCGGCATGCAATTCTATACGCGGCGGAAGCCTACATCGTGTACGGCTCCACCCCCTCCACCTCAAGCATCGAGCGCATGCACGCCGATACTGCAAGAAGGAGATGCGCCGACGACTGGAGCGTGTCCAAGGGGGTCCCGGCTCGAGCAGCCTCTACAAGATCCCCCACGTGGCGGGGGAAAGTACGGGCTAAGGGAGCTACCCCGGCGGGTGCATCCGACACGGGTGCCAACGGCGATTCGAGCGATTCTGCCGAAGTCACGCAGGAACCTCGGGATCCTGGGCCGAAACTGCTTGGAAAGTTCCGCGTGGCCCCACACACCGCCAGCTGCAAGTTCACCACCACCTCGCACGCCTCCGCCAGATTCAGAATCCGGCACATGGTCAGCATGGGGTCTCTCCCCGCGCGAGTGGGGGGAGGTGCAGTCAGCGCTTTGCGCGGAAACGCCGTCGGCCAGCCGGGAGTCCGGCCAACAGTTAAGCGCGGCGCGGAGAAGCCGGGTACCTGACGAGGGGTGTGGAACTGAGCCCTCCCCTCACGCGCGGGCAGATATTCGCGCAGAGTCGGCGCGCGCAGAGGAGCAACCTGGCCGGGGTCCGCGGCGAAGGGGGGACCGTTGGTCACCTCAATGTGGACGTGAGTCGGCGCCCCACTCGCCCGGGCCTGCCTCACCACCTCCACGAACGTGTTCGCGGCGCGATTGAGGGCAGGATCTGGCTGGCAGCCATTCCCGCCTCGCCCTCCGCCATTCCGCCGGCCCCGCCGACCCCCGGAACCAGCCGAATGTGGACGCGGGGGGGACTGCTCGCAGCGACCCGAATCCCAGCGACGCCCAGGCGATCCCCTACCCCGCGTCGCCAGAGATCGCCGCGGAGAGCGTTGCGCGGGGGATCGCGCTCGGGGTGAGCGCTGGCCTGCCCGACCACGAGGGGATGGGCGGCGAGGGGAGCGAGTACGCGCACGGGATCGCTGATCCCCCTCCCTGCGCTGATAATGTTCGCGATGCTCAGGAGAAGGGCGGCGGGGAGAGGGCTGCTGAGGAGGCTGACGTGGAGGCGAGCGCCTGCGCTCCTGCCGCGGCTGACTGTCCGGGCGGTTCGACGCAACACATACAGGCGCCCGCGAATACTCCAGCGAGGTGGGGCGCGCGGCTGGCCGATGGGGAAGAGTTAGCACCCGCTCGAAGCGGCGGACGGGCTCGCTCGCGGAGGGGTGCGCAAGAAGACGCGGACGAGGCCTGGCAGGCGCAGGCTCCGGCCGCGCGCTCTCCGCGGAACCCTCCAGCTCCGGATCCCGTCTCACGGATGGGTCCATCACCCCCGATCGTACCGCAGCCGACGCCAGCGCGCTGACGAAGCGAAAACGAGGCGGTCGCGGCGCCGCAGACAGGGCGCGAGGGAGCTGCAGTTGGAAGAGCAATGCGTGGAACCCGCGTGGGACGCGACAGCCGCCGCAGACGTCGAGGAAACGAGAGAGGACGAAGAGGTGGTGGAACACGGGGTTTAAACAGGCGCCGCACTGGTGCAAGCGGCTACGCGAGAAATGCGGAAAGGCTGATGCGAAACGGCGCGGAGGGCGGCGAGGAACCGCTTAACGAGGAGGCAGAGGAGGAAGTGGAGAGTGAGGAAGGTGACGAGGGTGACCCTGCTTTTAACCCTGAAAGAGGGGATGTTGGGAGCAGAGGCTGAGGAGGACGAGGAGGAGTTAGAACTTTGGCTTCAGGGAGAGGAGCTCCCCAGCCCAAATGTCCGAGGCGAACCTGCCAACCGAATCACAGCCCAGAACTGAGCCGCGGGGGGAAATCAAGCAAGGGGGGGAAATCGAGCCGCGACAGAGACTGGAGTTGACTCTGCGACAGCCAATGAGAATTCATCAGCCCCAATTCCGACCCCCCCAATGCTCAAACCTGACGACCTGGCGAAAAATACTGACCTGTTCGCCCAGGTTGCTGACTGGGACATTGGCCCGCTGCGCGACAGTCGCCAGCCCCCACTAGCCCGCCACCCTCCAAAAGACCTTCGCGAGTCCTTCGCGATTTGCCTGCTGACACCGTTACTCCACCTGGCAACCAACACCGAGTCAGAACCTGGCTAGATGCTACTCAACTTCCTCCCGCGCTTACTTCTTTGCTCCTCGTCAGCTCGTAAGCCTGACTGGAGCGCAATGATGAACAGGCTCCTGCGCTTTCGCCAAGGGCTCTGGGCCGGCCTCTACGAAGAAGCTGCCGAGGCGATCTCCCTCCCCCCGCAGCCTCGCCACGCACCTGACACAACTGGAATCCTCGCCAGAGCAGAGGGCCTAGCGAAGCGTGGTAACCTCTCAAAATCGTTGCAATCCCTGCAAGCCACGCCCGTGTCGCCTGCCTCACCTGAAGTTCTCAAGGCCCTCACGACAAGACACCCACCTGCATCCCAACCGCTACCTGATTGGCTGCACGCTGCCACAGCGGAAAACCCTCCCGCTATCGAAGCCCGCGACTTCAGAAGGATCATCGCCAAGCTCCCCAATGGAGTGGGGGCGGGCCCCTCAGGAACTACCTTCGAACATCTCCGTGATGCAGCACTAGGCAGCGCCGAAGTCTTCACCCACCTCTTAGCCCTCACCAACACGGCCCTAACGGGGAAGCTACCAGCCGTTGCGGGAGACCTACTTACCGCCTCTCGCCTTTTGGCCTTCACGAAACCGCACGGTGGGACGAGGCCGATCGCGGTTGGGGAATGCCTACTACGGATAATTGCCAAAGCTGTCCTTTTCCTGATCGCGCCAGCCGCTAGATCCCACTTCGTCCCCCTTCAGTTCGACGTGGCAGTAGCGGGGGGCATTGAGGCCGCTATACACACGGCACGTACTTACCTGGAGGTCCATCCCGCGGCAGTGGCGCTGCAGATCGACCTCGCGAACGCGTTCAACGCGGCCGAGAGGAGAGCGGTGTTCGAGGGGTTGAGGAACGAAGCGCTCGAGAGCCTCACCCCCCTGGTCCGCCTGTCTTACGGAGTCCCCTCCTCGCTCTTCCTCGACCATGAGTTCGCAGCGGCTCCACTGCAAAGCGCCAGGGGGGTCCGCCAAGGTGATCCCCTCAGCCCCCTTCTATTCGCCGCTAGCATCCACCCCTGCCTCGTTGCGACGGCAGCGGCGCACCCGCAGGTGGTCCTACTCGCCTATGCCGACGACATCACGCTGCTCGGTGATGCGTCTGCCTGCGCCGCGGCCTTCGACCACCTCACAGCCGCGCTCGCCTCCATGGGGCTCCTCCACAACCCTGCTAAGTGCGCGGCTTGGTCCGCCGCCCCAATTGACCCTGACTCCGTCCCCCCCGGCATCACCATCTCGACCGAAGGGCTGCAAATCCTCGGCAGCCCCATCGGCACAACGCAGGGCTGCGCCGCGGCAGTCAGGGACAGACTTACGGCAGCAGCTGAACCGCTCCCGTTGCTAGCGCAAATGGACCCGCAGCTCTGCCTCCTCCGCACACGCTGCGTCAGCCGCCGCGCCTCCTTCCTGGCAAGGACAACCCCGCTGGAGGTCCTGCCCACAGCAGAATGGTCGGCATGGGGGGAGCGGCTGCTCCTCGCGTTCCTAGAGGCTGCGCACATTGTCGCGCCAAGGAGCAACACGGAAAGGAGGCGTATTTGGCGGCAGGCAGCGCTCCCCGTTACCTTGGGGGGTCTGGGCATTACGGACCTGGCCGTGGAAGGGAGTTACGCGTACCTCGCGTCGGTGATCGGCGCGGCTCACCTCCTGCACTCGCTAGCCGACTCCCTACACCCCGCCATAGCCGCATTGCTCCCCCTTATGGACTCCATCCCGGACTCCGCAGCTGCCCTGCCCTCGCGCCTAGCTGCAGCTGAAGCGACCCTGCCTCCAGACGGCCTGGAGGCCCTTCAGGCTGGTAAAAGTGACCCCAAGGGACTGAAGCTCCAGCAGTCCCTGGCCCTGGCAGTCCACACCCGCCGCTACCTCCGAGTGCTGAACACGGCGCGGTGGATGCGCCCAAACCCCCTCTCAGGGCATGCTCAGCGGATGCAGTCCCTGCTGGGCCCGGGAGCAGAGGACTGGCTGCTGGCAATCCCACTCTCTTCTGCGCTGAGGCTGGGCCCCTCCCAACACTCTACTGCTTCCTCCTTCCGCCTAGGCCTCCCCCTCCCTGTCCCGAGGCGGTGCGACTGCCGATACCGCACCACCTTCCCTGATGACCGCCTCCCGAATCACCTTATGCGCTGCGAGAAGGGGAAAGGGAGGACTGCCACACACCATGCTCTCAGGGATGAAATCGCAAGGATAGGGGCGGAAGCAGGCTTCACGGTTCACAAGGAGACCTATGCCTATTCTCTGGTTGAAAACCTTAAAGCGGATGTCTCCATCCGCCATCCCCTGACCGGAGAAGTGTGGCTTTGTGATGTGACCGTGACTGACCCGGTGTCCTACCAGGACGAGAACTGCAACCGCGCACCTGGGTGGGCGGCTAGGGCGGCAGGTGCTCGGAAGGAGGAGGAATATGCAGGACGGAACGCGTGGGTGGGGTTCCACGCCTTGGCCATGGAGACCTACGGCTACCCGTCGCCGGGGGTGCTGGCTTACCTTCGGCAGTGCGCGGAGCTGGCTGCGAAGCTCCGCTACAACGCGGCCCCTAACTCTCGAGAGGCTGTCAAGCTGCTGACGGAGTACCGCCAGCGCTGGAGCGTGTGCCTCCAGAGGGCGCAGGCCAGCGCCCTCCGCACCAAGACCAATGAGGCCTTGGAAGCGGACGAGCTCAGCCTGCAAGGGCCGTGGGCCCCTCTCAATGAGGGGCAGCTGCACCAGCTGATTGAGCCCCCGTCCGACCACTAGGGTCGGACAGAGGGGGGGGGGAGTGGGGTAGGTGATGGTTGATAGGTCTGCTTGTTTGTCTAATATGCATGTGTCTGCTTCAAACCCTTGTACCACCCTTCAACTAATACACGGACCATTCGAGAGAGAGAGAGAGAGAGAGAGAGAGAGAGAGAGAGAGAGAGAGAGAGAGAGAGAGAGAGAGAGAGAGAGAGAGAGAGAGAGAGAGAGAGAGAGAGGATGGCCTGCCACTTCAGCCAACGCTGGTCAGTGGCCCTCCAGCGCTCCCAAGCGAATGCCCTGCACACCAAGGCCAGGGCTGGGATCGAGGCAGCGCACCCCCAGATGGCAGCCGACCCCTGGCCACTGCACCTGGGGGACATCCTCTACACGCTGGAGGGCTAGAGGATCACGCAGGGGGGGGGGGGGGGGGGGGGGGGAAGAGGGGTGAGCTAAAGGGCTTAAGGGAAGGAGGTTATCATGGATTGCACTGCATGTTTTTGTACCCCTGCTGAATCAATACAAAGGACTGTTTGAGAACAAGTTCAGGGCCAACCCCTTGGCCAAATCGGCCAAGAAGAAGGCCTGCCACTTCAGCCAGCGCTGGTCAGTGGCCCTCCAGCGCTCCCAAGCGAATGCCCTGCACACCAAGGCCAGGGCGGGGATTGAGGCAGCGCACCCCCAGATGGTAGCGGACCCATGGCCGCTGCACCTAGGGGACATCCTCCACACGCTGGAGGGTTAGAGGGGCAGGGGGGGGAGGGTCAGAGGGATGGGTTGATGGGTCGGAAGGTATAAGGGAACCACGAGTCAAATTGCATGTCTGTACCCCCTGCTGAATCAATACAAAGGACCATTTGAGAGAGAGAGAGAGAGAGCGAGAGAGAGAGAGAGAGAGAGAGAGAGAGAGAGAGAGAGAGAGAGAGAGAGAGAGAGAGAGAGAGAGAGAGAGAGAGAGAGGATTAAACTGAGCCCACGGCGGCCCGCCACCAGCACCTACGAAGCCCATCCCCGCAAGCAGCGGCCGCTCTGAACGCGCCGGAGATCGAAAGGGATTGTGGGGCAGGAGCGCGGAGAGAGGGACGACGGGAGTAGCGCGAGGAGCTGATGGCGACGGCGACCCCGCACGCGAGCGACGAAGCTCCTTCTCCACGTCATCAAGCCTATCCAGAAAACGGTGCTCCATTGTGGGCGGCGCTGGACCCGCTTTTCCGCCGAGACTGTCACCTCCCCGTCGCCCACGACGCGCACGCCCACTTGCGCTTGAGCGCACAGGCGACTCCGGGCGAGATGGGCCCTGCTAACGCTGGCGGCCAGGAACACGGTCCCCGCGACGAGGGGAGTAGAGCCGTTGGCGCTTTGTAGGAGGGGGCGAACGCGGAGCTGGGGGCCAATGCCCAGACGTCTAACGAGCAGGCGACCGCTGGCGAGATGAACGATGAGGCGGCGAACGATGACGATGCGAACGGCGGTCACGGGATCGGCTTCGCGACGCCACGCGACGAGGCGAACGAGGAGACAGCGGCGAACGGGCCGCACCGTGACGATCATCGCGGCGGCTCTCTCGCTTATCGTCGCGAGCTGCCGATGAGCGACGGCGAGGCGAACGCTCCTGGTGCGCCACAGCCTCTGCGCCGGAGCGCAAGACGGACCCCGCGCGCAGGGGCTCCGGCGGTGACAAGGACCTGCCCGCGCGCCGAGCCAGCTCGCGCTGCTGGTCCTCGAAGCGGCGGCGGATCTGATCAGCGGACGCCGGTGGAGCAACAGGTACGCTCGCGGCAGGGCGTGCAGGAGGAAGCGGACGGGGAGCGGGATCGCTCTCCGCGGTGCAGTCGCGGCCCAGAGCGCCGAGGAAATCCATCAGCGAGCGCTCTGGGCGCTCCACTACCACAAGAGGAGCCGACGACGCCGATCTCCTAGGCGCAACAGGCGGCACCTGTGGCAGCCACTCCGAGGAGCGGACGGGGAAGCACGCGGGGGAGAGGCGGGGGTCGAGGAGCGCGCGGAGGACAGAGGAGTGCAGGCCAAGCAGCGAGGGGGAATCCGCGCCGACTACCGAGCCCAATCTGGTTGGGGGAGCCGGCGGAACGAGTCACGCGCCAGTCGTTTGCTAGACGGGGGGGGGAGAAGGGGAACGACATCGCAAGCAATGAGAATCGGTGATACAAACGCAGAAGGGAGCGGCGACGAATATGTACCGTCAGATCTGAGGCAACCCGACAACCCCGACTTACCTCTCGCGGAAGCGGGGGAGGACCAGGCGCAGCAACAGGAGAGGGATCCTAGACGCCGACAGAACCGCAGACCCCAACCCCCTCCAGACCAAGCCCTGTCAGCGTCCCAGCTAGCATCGAGGGAGGATCTCTTTGAGATCGCGAACAGCTGGGACTCTTCAACCCTAACGTCAACCACCCACCTGCCTATCGTCCGCCACCTGCCGCCGCAGATACTAAGCGACTACTCCACTTGTATGCTGGCCGCCCTCTTACGGATCTCCAAACTGCCCAACTGCGCGGGAGCGTGGCGGGTCCTCATGTTCCTGCCACGTCTCACCTTACGACTTAGCAGGAGGTCCAGCTCTAAGTGGAAGGTGCTGCGAGAGCAGATGCACCTATTCAGATGTGGCCACTAGAACCAGCTCTACAGTGACTACGTGGGGTCCCTGCACCAAGCTGAGCCACCTCAGCACCAAAACGACCCCCTGGGAATCTGCTCACGTGTGGAGGGGCTGGTGAAACGAGGTAACCTGCGAAAAGCGTTGGCAGCCCTTTCACCCTCGCCAGCGGCCCCTGCGACGATCGCGACATTGCAGCAGTTGGAATTGAAACATCCCCAACCCCAAGTTGAGCTGCCCGACTGGGTCCACACCTACACAACACCCACGCAATTTTCGTGCACCGCGGAAAGTTTCTCAGACGTCCTTGGGGATTGCCCCAGCGGAGTTGGGGCTGGTCCATCCGGGTCAACATTTGAACACTACCGCGACCCAGCCCTAAGCAGCATCGAAGTGCTAGGGCACCTACACTCCGCCATAACACATCTTCTCTCCACGAATCTTTCCACCGAGGTTGCAGCACTACTCTCGCCATCCCACCTCATCGCCTTCGCGAAACCAGGGGGGGGGTACGCCCTATCGCAATAGGGGAATCCCTACTCCGGTTGGCAGCAAAGGTGGCACTCTCGGAACTGCAAGGAGAAACAAGGCGATTTTCCTTACCCCAACAATTCGGTGTGGCAGTCCCAGGCGGAGCTGAGTTCGTTATACATGCAATCAGAGACCTCACCACTTCACAACCTTCCAGCCTAGTCCTCCAACTCAACATTGAAAACGCTTTCAACTCCGTAGAGAGGAAAGCGTTCTTCAACGCACTCAACAACACCCCGCTAGCACCGCTCATACCTTTCACCCACTCCTTCTACGCAGCGCCTTCTCAGCTGCTGACCGATCCCCGCTTGAGCACGACGGCACTTACCAGCGGAAGGGGGGTGAGGCAAGGGGACCCCCTCGGACCCCTGCTGTTCGCGGCATCAATTCAGCAGCACCTCAGACGCACAGCAGCAGAGCACCCAGAAGTCACGATCCTAGCATACGCAGATGACATCACCATGGTCGGACCGGCGACAGCAACGCTCGGCGCGCTTAAGCTACTGACGCCACTGCTCGCCCAGGATGGCCTCACCTGCAACCTCAGAAAATCGTCGGCGTGGTCCACGACGCCGCTTGAGGGTGACGAGCTCCCCGAGGGCCTCCCACTCACCCACGAGGGGGTACGGGTGTTGGGAAGTCCCGTGGGGTCACAGCGCTTCTGCGCTGACCTGGTCCGCAGTACTATGACAGACGCGGCGGCACCCCTGGGCTCCCTAGCATCCATCCATCCACAGCATACCCTCCTGCTCCTGTCCCGCTGCATCAGCCGCAGAATCGGCTACTTGCTGCGCACCAACCCAGCGGATGTCTTTCCCCTCTCGGAATGGCACGCGTGGTGCGCCGAACTTCTCAACACCGCCCTGACTGCCGCCAGCATCCAACCACCCCGCCGCGAAGCCGAGTTCAATTTTCTCATCCGCCAAGCAACCCTCCCAGTGGCCCTAGGTGGACTGGGCCTCACGGATCCCACAACAGAAGCCGCACGAGCCTACCTGGCCTCAACGACGCATTACGCCTGCTCCGCTCACTCGACCTGCCAGCAACCGCGGCGCTAGGGAGCAACAGCAACGCCCTGCAGCCGTCTGCGGCACACTCAGTCACCATCCAAGACATGGAGGGACGTCTGCCGCCGCTGGCGCTGCAATACCTCCGTGAGGAGCAAGAAACCCCGTCCCAAGACCAGCTGCAGCGGGCCCTCTCTCAGGAAGTGCACGCGGCAAAGGCCGACACCCTGACAGAGGAATCACGCTCAATCAGGTCAGCCCCCGAGATGGGCCACACGCTCCGCCTCGTCAGCCTGAGAAGCGAGGGAGCGGGAGCATGGCTGCAAGCCCTACCCCTGACCCCAGACCTCTGCTTCTCACCAGGGCAATTCCGAATAGCCCTGGCCTTCCGCATGGGCATCCGACAGAACGTACCTACCGTGTGCGAGTGTGGAGAGCTCGTGGCCGACTGCAGCCTACCCAACCACCTACTCCGCGGCAGCACAGGCCCGGACAGAACGCGCACACACAACCAGCTGGCCTTTGCCGTGGAAAAAATGGCGAGGGAGGCGCAGCTGGTGGTATACCTGGAGAATGCAATGTACTCACCACCAGATGACCCGAAGAAGGCCGATGTGATCGTGCGTGACCCAGACAGTGGAGAGACCTGGATCACAGACACGACTATCACCGGCCCTGTGCTACAGAACCGGGACCCCACAGCCCGCAAACCCCCAGGCTTAGCTGCAAGGGAGGCACAGAGGCGGAAGGAGAGGGACTACTACAGGCACACCGAACACGTGGTGTTCTGCGCCCTGGCTGTCGAGACATACGGGGCAAACGCGCCCCCCACGACAGCGTTCCTTCAGCTGCTGGCCACAGCAGCGGCTAGGAACAGGTTCAGGGCCAACCCCTTGGCCAAATCGGCCAAGAAGATGGCCTGCCACTTCAGCCAGCGCTGGTCAGTGGCCCTCCAGCGCTCCCAGGCGAATGCCCTGCACACCAAGGCCAGGGCGGGGATTGAGGCAGCGCACCCCCAGATGGCAGCGGACCCATAGCCGCTGCACCTAGGGGACATCCTCCACACGCTGGAGGGTTAGAGGGGCAGGGGGAGGAGGGTCAGAGGGATGGGTTGATGGGTCGGAAGGGATAAGGGAACCACGAGTCAAATTGCATGTCTGTACCCCCTGATGAATCAATACAAAGGACCATTTGAGAGAGAGAGAGAGAGAGAGAGAGAGAGAGAGAGAGAGAGAGAGAGCGAGCGAGAGAGAGAGAGAGAGAGAGAGAGAGAGAGAGAGAGAGAGAGAGAGAGAGAGAGAGAGAGCGAGAGGACTTAGCCTCTGTCCCTTGCCTCTGTCCCTTGCCCCCAAGCTATATAAAAGTCCCGTAGGGGCCTCTCTCCTCATTAGTTCATTTTGTTTTTTCAGTTTCCCGTAGGGGCCTCTCTCCTCGCGTTGCGCGGCCTTCGGCCGCGTGCTTTGGGGAGGCAAGGTTTAGCACCAAGACAAAAATAGCCGAACAACACAAGACAGCAATGGGCCACGTGCCCAACTTATAGACCACGTGATGCAAAGGGTCTACGCGCGGAGGGCGCCGGAAACTACATCAGATGGGCCTCCAGCGCCGCAAGGATACCGCGCATGGTCCTCCGCAGTTGCTGGACCACTAACGCGGTCGGGCCTACAGCTTCAACCCCGCCACCAGCCTGGAGGTGTGCGGTCAGACCCTGGACCGCTCCGTCCAGTTCTGAAACCGCAACAACTCCCATCGCGTGCGCTCCCAGCAAGGGTAGGAGGAGGAAGGCAAGTTGCGCAGCCGCCGCCAAGCAATCTCCACGCGCCTCACGACCGAGAGTGCTCCCTGGGCTCTGGAGAATGACGAAGTGCGCATTCACCAGAATCAGTGTCAGGGCCTGCTGGCACTCCACCAAGCGCCACACCTGCGCGAGGGTCGCCGTGGGAACTTGAGCCATTCCCGTCCTCAACGCGGCAGTCGGAATGGGAAGAGGGGGCGGAGGCTGCACGGACGGAGCTTCAGCGAAACGACGCGGAGGAACGAAGGATCCCCTCGCCCCTCCGCCTCCCGCTCCCACAAATCCCGTGTCCGGAAGAGGGGGAATCCAGGGCAGGGGTGGATACTGCGAGGCGGACACAGGACGAACGTAGGCAGGCGGAGCACGGTCACTGCCTGGAGGTGGAGCCCATGGGTACGCAGATGCATGCGGAGCAGGCGCATCAAGGGGCGCGGTCGGATCCTGCACATTCACAGGAACGGGCGCGGGCGCAGGAGCGGCGGGAGCCGAGGAGCTACCAAGATTCGGTGCGCCATTCAGAGCGTTGCGCATCGCCGCAGCGAGCATCCCCGGGAAATCCTCGCGCAGCTGCTGCATCTCGCTTGGTCCACCGCGCCCGTGACCGTGACCTCCCCACCAGCCACCACGACCTCCGCGGTGAGCCGAACGATATGACGAGGAGGGGCGACGCCGAGGAGAACCTCGCCCCCGGTGCGCTGCCGCATTGCCCCCCGCGGCAGGGTGTATCTGGGACTCCGCGAGCCGCTGCGCGACAGGTTTCACCGGCGCAGCCGATGGGGCATCTAAGTGGGCTGAATCGGGGCCGGCGCCCACCGCTGTCCCCAACGCAGGGCCCCCAGCGACAGCTTGGGCGGGCGGCTGCGCCACATGTGACGGCTGCGCAACGGGAACCGGCGGGCCGGACACGAATCCAGCGTGCGGAAGGTTTGGCGGGGGAGCCGGCGACAGGGGGAGCGGAACCGCGGATGTCGCAACAACAGCAGGTGGAGCCAGGGGGAGCAGGGGAGCAGCAGCAATGGCAACCGCGGCGACAGGGGCCGGAGGCGGGGCAATCGCACTCTCAGCAGTGTGACCTTGGTCCACCGCTGACTTCTCTGCTTCAGTCGCCATTACGGCGAACGCGTTGGCAGCAGGCGATCGAGGACGTAAGGTCGCGCCAGAACCCAGGAGGAGCGAGTCGAGGGAATCCGCTGCCAGGGGCGGCAAATGCGCGGACGCGCGGAGGCCGTGCCGGAGGTCGAGGGCGTGGAAGGAGTATACGCGTTCTAGGCAGCGGCGCGTAGGGCTTTAACGGAGTTGGTAAGAGCTAATGAGGCAGATGCTTTGTCGGGGAGTATTTATGAGGCGGAGGCGGAGGATGCAGACTCAAGTTCGAACGCCTCAGAGGAGGCCCAATCACAGACTCCTGCACAGCAGAGAGGCAACCCAACCTACGCCCGAAACGCGGCAACAAATTCCATTCACGCTCCCACCCAGCCGCGACCATCCCCACAGATTCGTACCGCTCCCAACCACCCTGACACCACTGCCAACCAGCCCGCCCAACAAATCCTGCCACCAACACCTGCGATTACCCCACGAACTGCAGCAAGGGGTAACCAACAGCAGTCACAACCCCTCCCCCCAAAATCGCCCGAAGCCCTCGCCAAGGATGACACGCTTTTCGCAAGCGTCAGTAACTGGAATCTGGACAATCTACGCGACAGTCGCAACGAACCTCTAGCACGTCGCCTTTCGGAAAAGCTGCGCCTGCTTTTCGCAATGGTCTTACTGACACCACTGCTGCGACTCGCCGACGACCCTAATGCACCCAAGCCTGGACGGTTTTGCTGTTTGCCGCTCTCCTGACATTGCGTCAGCAGTCGCCTAAGCACCCCGATTGGAAGGCGACCAGAAGCAGACTGCGTAAGTTCCTGCGAGGGGAGTGGGAATCACTTTACCTGGAGACGGTGGATTCGCTGGAGCTGCCCCCACCCCCCAGGCACCAACCCGACGACCTGGGGGTTATCTCTAGGGCAGAAGGTCTGGCGCGACGTGGCAGTCTGCGAAGGGCTGTCATGGCACTTGAAGCGACGCCAGTCAGCAAGCCGACCCCAGAAATTCTGGAATCTCTACGCGCCAAACACCCCCGGGCCTGGCACCCTGACACACCGTGGCCCCAGCCTGAGCCAGACACTTACCTGGCAGTGTCGCGAGAAGTCTTCTTGAAGCTTCTCTCAAAATGTGAAAATGGGGTTGGTGCAGGCCCCTCAGGCACGACGTTCGAACACCTGCGCGAAGCCGCACTGATGCACACGGCGGTCAGCTCTCACTTACATGCGCTTGTCAACACGATCCTTCGCGGGAAGCTGCGGTCGGAGGTTGGGGGGCTTCTTACCGCATCACGTTTGATAGCCCTCGACAAGCCAGACGGAGGGACCAGACCAATAGCAATAGGTGAATGCCTCCTACGGCTGGCAGCCAAAGCAGCACTTACTCAGCTGGCAGAAGCAGCTAGAGAATTTTTCTTACCATTACAGTTTGGAGTTGCCGTGCCGGGAGGAGCAGAAGCAGTGATCCACATTGTTAGAACTTTCACCTCGGCCAATCCGGAGGCGCTAGTCCTGCAGGTGGATCTAGCTAACGCCTTCAATAGCGTCGATCGCCTCGCCATAGCGACAACGCTGAAAGGCTCGCAGCTGGAGCCTCTACTGCCTTTGGTGATCTTCTCTTACGGCCAGCCGTCTGCACTTCACCTGGACGCAGCTTTTGACCACGCGCCCTTGCTCAGCGAGACCGGAGTCCGCCAAGGGGACCCCCTCGGCCCCCTTCTTTTTGCCGCGGCCATGCAACCAGCCCTGAAGGCGGCTGCGGAGGCGCATCCGGAAGTCATCTGCCTTGCTTACGCGGACGATGTTACCTTCTTAGGGGACCTGTCGTCATGTGCGGTCGCCTTTGATCATTTCACCAGCCTCTTGGCGGACATAGGGCTCAAACACAGCCCCGCCAAGTGTGGGGCCTAGTCAAACAGATCACCGGCGGACCCACCGTGCCCGAGGGGGTTCTACTCAGCAGCGACGGGTTGAAAGTGCTGGGCAGTTACATCGGCACCCCAACAGCCACATCCGCTTTCATACGTTCCAGCGTGGAAGGGATGGGAGCGCCGCTGGGATTGATAGAACGTATGGAGCCTCAGCTGGCAGGACTGCTGCTGTCTCGGTGCGTCTCGCGCCAAGTGTCCTATTTGGCCCACACGACTCCCCTTCCGTCCTTGCCCCAGGTGGAGTGGTCCGAATGGGGGAGGCGACTGCTGGATACCCTGCTCACGGCATGCGGCATAAACCACCCAAGGGGAGAGGAGGAAATCTCACGCACATGGGCGCAGGCCTCCCTCCCCATTTCGCTTGGGGGGCTCGGACTGACAGACCCGTCCGTGGAGGGAAGCTACAGTTTCCTCGCCAGCTACACGCAGGCTCATCTCCTACTGGACGTCCTTGAGGACGAATGCACCGGCCCACTGGAAGCCACTCGAGAGCTGATGCGCGGTCCCTACACCCATGCCTCCCCCTTGACCGAATGGCTCGTGAAATGCGAGGAGGAGCTCCCCCTGCCAGCTCAGGAAGCCTTGCAAGCAGAGAGAACAGCCCCAACCGCAGGGAAGCTACAGCACGGCCTGGCCACGGCTATCCAGGGCCAACGCTATGCTGTCCAAGTGGAGGAGGCGAGGGGGATGAACCCGAACCCGAACAATGGTCACACGCAGCGGATGATGTCCCTGTCGGGGTACGGTGCAGGGGATTGGTTAAATGCGGTGCCACTGCACCGCGCGCTACACCTCGAGGCTCCGCACTGCGCCAACGCGCTCCAGTTCCGGCTGGGGCTCCCCTTTGCGGCTCCCGGGGTCTGCAATTGCTGGAAGAAGGTGGAAATCCCAGACAAGCGGCTCCCAAACCACCTGCTACGATGTGGGACAGGGGGGGGGCGCACGAACACACACAATGAACTCAAAGACGAATGCGCGCGGATGGCGCGCGACGCAGGCTTCATGGTGCACATTGAATCGGCCGCTTTCAGCCCAGTGGAGGAGAAGAAGGCGGACCTGGCCCTCCGCTGCCGCCGTACTGGAGCTGTCTACATCTGTGATGTGACGGTGACAGACCCCATCAGCACCCGCGACGAAAATGCAACTAAGGGGCGGGGGTGGGCGGCAAGGGAAGCAGCAGATAAGAAGCACGGCCTCTACAGGGACCGCCCAGAGTGGGTGAAGTTTTTCCCGCTCGCGGTCGAGACTTATGGGTACCCTTGCCCTGAGACAGTAGATTTCCTGCCTCCGCAGCCTCGCCACTCACGCGACACAACTGGAATACTGGCACGGGCGGAAGGTCTGGCAAAACGGGGTAACCTGTCAAAATCACTTCAATCCCTCCAGGCCACCCCTGTGTCACCTGCCTCACCCGAAGTGCGAAAGAGAGGAAATCTACTGTCTCGAAATCACCCTATTGAAGTGATTTTGACAGGTTACCCCGTTTTGTCAGACCTTCCGCCCGTGCCAGTATTCCAGTTGTGTCGCGTGAGTGGCGAGGCTGCGGAGGCAGGGAAACCTACACGCGGCGGAAGCCTACATCGTATACTGTCTCAAGCATCGAGCGCATGCACGCCGACACCGCGAGCAGGAGCTGCGCCGACGAGTGAAGGGTCTCCACCGGCGTCCCAACACGAGCAGCCGCAACAAGATCCTCCACGTGGCGGGGGAAGGTACGCGCTAAGGGCGCTACCCCGGCGGGCGCTTCCGACACGGGCTCCAAAGGCTGGACGAGAGATTCTGCCCAAGACGCGCAGGATCTTCGGGACCCTGGAGCGCAACTGCCCAGAGAGTTACGCATGGCCCCACACACCGCCATCTGCAAGCTCGCCACCCCCTCGCACGCCTCCGCCAGATTCAACATCTGGCACATGGTTAGCATGGGGTCTCTCCCCGCGCGAGTGGGGGGAGGTGCAATCGGATCTTAGCGCGGGAACGCCGCCCGCCGGCCCAGGGCTCGGCCAAATGAGAACTGCTGAGTGTGGAAGCCCGGGGCCTGCCGAGCGGTGCATAACGGGGCCCTCGCCTCCCGCGCGGGCTGATACTCGCGCAAGGTTAGCGCGCGTAGCGGAGCCGCCAGTCCAGGGTTCGAGGCGAGGGGAGGGCCATTGGTTATAACAATATGCACGTGCGTCCGCTCCTCGCTCGCCCGCGCCTGACGCACCGCCGCCGCCATCACATTCACGGCCTGATCTACGGCTGGATCACGACGGGGACTGTTCCCGCCACATCCAGATCCATTCTGCCGGCCTCGGCGGCCCGAGTGCGGACGCGGCGGGGATTGTTCGCGGCGCCCAGATTCCCAGCGACGCTCTGGCAATCCCCTGCCCCGCCTCGCCGGAGATCGCCGCGGAGAGTGCTGAGCGGGGGATCGCGCTCGCGGTGACCGCGGGGCTGCTCGACCACGGGGGGGCTGGTGTCGAGGAGAGTGGGGACGCGCAGGGGACCGCTGATCGCCCTCTCTGCACTGACGAGGGTCGCGATGCTCAGGAGAAAGGCGGCGAGGAGAGGGCTGCCGAGGAGGCTGACGCAGAGGCGAGCGCCCGCGCTCCTGACGCGGCTGACCGTCAGGGCGGTTCGACGCAACACGCGCGGGGGCCCACGAATATTCCGGCGAGGTGGGCCGCGCAGCAGGCTGAAGAGGAAGAGTTAGCCCACGCTCAAAGCGGCGTACGGGCTCGCTTGCGGAGGGGCGCGCAGAGATACGCGGGACGAGGCTCGGCAGGCGCAGGCTCCGGCAGCGCGCTCTCCGCAGAACCCTCCAGCTCCGGATCTCGTCCCGCAGATGGGTCCATCACCCCCGACAATGCCGCGGCCGACGCCAGCGCGCCGGCAAAGTGAGGACGAGGCGGACGCCGCACCTGAGACGGGGCGCGCGGGAGCTGCGGGAGGAAGAGCAACGCGGGGAATCCGCGTGGGACGCGGCAGCGGCTGCCGCGGACGACGTGGGAACGGCAGAAGACGAAGAGGTGGTGGAACACGAGGCTCAAACCGGCGCCGCAGCGGAACAAGCGGCTACGCGAGAACTGCTGAGAGGCTAATGCGGGAAGGCGTGGAAGGCGGCGAGGAGGCGCCTAGCGAGGAAGCAGAGGAGGAAGTCGAGAATGAGGAAAGTGACAGGGGTGACCCTGTTTACAGCCGTGAAAGAGAGGGGATGTTAGAAGCAGAAACTGAGGAGGACGAGGAGGAGTTGGAACTTCTGCTTCGGGAAGCAGAGTTCCCCAGCCCGAACGCCTGAGGCGAACCTGCAAACCGAACCACAGCTTGAAATCGAGCCGCGGGGGAAAACAAAGCAAGGGGGGGAAATCGAGCCGTGACAGAGAACAGAGTTAACTCTGCAGCAGCCAATGGGAATTCAGTTGCAGACTGGGACCTCGACTCGTTGCACGACAGTCGCCAACCACCTGTCGCCCGCCAACCCCCAAAAGACCTTCGCGAGTCCTTTGCGATTTGCCTGCTGACTCCGTTACTCCACCTGGCAGCCAACCCCGAGTCTGCGCCACGATGGAAGTTACTGACCTTCCTCCCACGAATACTCCTTCGCACCTCGTCAGCCCGTAAACCTGATTGGAGCGCAATGATGAACCGGCTCCTGCATTTTCGCCAAGGATTCTGGGCCGGCCTATACGAAGAAGCTGCCAAGGCGATATCCCTCCCACCGCAACCTCCCCTCGCACCTGACACAACTGGAATACTCGCCAGGGCGGAGGGACTGGCAAAGCGTGGTAACCTGTCAAAATCATTGCAATCCCTGCAAGCCACGCCCGTGTCACCTGCCTCACCTGAAGTACTCGAGGCCCTCACGGCGAGACACCCACCCGCATGCCAAATGCTACCTGATTGGCTACATGCCGCCACAGCAGAAAACTTGCCCGCTATCAAAGCCCGCGACTTCAGGCGACTCATCGCCAAGCTCCCCAATGGTGTCGGGGCTGGCCCCTCAGGAACCACCTTCGAACACATCCGCGATGCAGCCCTAGGAAACGCCGAAGTATTCACCCACCTCCTAGCCCTCTCCAACACGGCTCTAGCAGGGAAACTACCTGCCGTCGCGGGGGAGCTCCTTACCGCCGCCCGCCTGCTAGCCTTTACGAAACCACACGCAGGGACAAGGCCGATCGCGGTTGAAGAGTGTCTCCTTCGGATCATCGCCAAAGCTGCACTCTTCCTGATCGCGCCAGCCGCTAGATCTCACTTTGCCCCCCTTCAGTTCGGCGTGGCAGTAGCGAGGGGGATTGAAGCGGCTATCCACACGGCGCGTACATACCTGGAAGTCCATCCTGAAGCAGTAGTGCTGCAAATTGACCTCGCGAACGCGTTCAACGCGGTCGAGAGGAGAGCGGTGTTCGAGGGACTAAAAAACGAGGCGCTGGAAGATCTAATCCCCCTCGTCCGCCTCTCGTATGGGGCTCCCTCCTCTCTTTACCTCGACCATGACTTCGGGGCAGCCCCACTGTAGAGCGCCAGAGGAGTCCGCCAAGGGGACCCGCTCGGTTCCCTCCTGTTCGCGGCAAGTATCCACCCTTGCCTTGCTGCCACTGCAGCTGCACACCCACAGGTGGTCCTGCTGGCGTACACCGATGACATCACGCTGCTCGGTGACACATCGGCCTGCACGGCAGCATTTGACCACCTCACATCAGCGCTGGCCGCCCTCGGCCTGGTACACAACCCGGCCAAGTGCGCGGCATGGTCTGCTGCTGCAATAGACCCCCTATCCGTAACCCCCGGCATCACTTTTTCTAAAGAGGGGGTGCAGATTCTCGACAGCCCCATCGGCACGCCCCAGGGCTGCGCCAGCGCGGTGAGGGAGAGACTAGCAACAGCAGCAGCACCGCTCCCCCTGCTGGCCCAGATGGATCCCCAGCTTAGCCTCCTCCTACTCACCCGCTGTGTCAGCCGCCGTGCCTCCTTTTTGGCCAGAACCACCCCTCTGGAGGCGCTACCTGTAGCAGAATGGTCTGCTTGGGGGGAGCAGCTTCTACTAACCTTCTTAGACTCGGCCCACATCATGACCCCGAGGAGTGCCACGGAGAGACGAAGGATTTGGCGGCAGGCGGCCCTGCCGGTGACGCTGGGAGGTCTAGGCATCACTGACCCCGCCATTGAAGGCAGCTACGCCTACCTCATCTCGGTGATCAGCGCCGCACACCTCCTGCACTCCCAGGAGGACTCACTGCACCCCACTGTTGCCGCGCTCCTCCCCTTACTGGACCCGACCCATGGCTCTCCGCACGCTCTGCTAGCGCGCCTCGCCGCTGCGGAGGCAGCTCTCCCCCCAGAGGCGCTAGAAGTGCTACAGGCCGGGAAGGCGGACCCGAAGGGACTGAAGCTGCAGCAGAGCCTGGCACTGGCGGTTCACTCCCGCCGCTTCCTGAGGGTTATGCACGAGGCGAGGCAGATGCGCCCCAACCCCCTTTCTGGCCACGCGCAACGAATGCAGTCGGTGCTAGGCCCAGGCGCAGGGGACTGGATGCTGGCGATTCCCCTCATCCCCTCGCTCCGGATGGGCCCATCCCAGCTCTCAACCGCAGCTGCCTTCCGCCTAGGCCTCCCCCTCCCCGTGCCTAGACGCTGTGACTGCCGTTACCGCACCACCTTCCCCGATGACCGCCTCCCCAACCACCTCATGCGCTGCGAGAAGGGGAAAGGGAGGACTGCTACCCACCATGCTCTGCAGGATGAGATAGCAAACATAGGGGCGGAAGCGGGCTTTACGCTACACAAGGAGACGTATGTCTACTCTCTGGTTGAGAATCTAAAGGCGGATGTCACCATCCGTCATCCCCTGACTGGAGAGGTGTGGATGTGCGACGTGACCGTGACGCACCCGGTGTCTTACCAGGACGAGAACTGCAACCGAGCTCCTGGATGGGCGGCTAGGGCGGCAGCAGCTAAAAAGGAGAAGTACGCCCTCAGGAATGCGTGGGTGGGGTTCCACGCGCTTGCAGTGGAGTCTTATGGTTACCCCTCGCCAGGGGTGATGGCTTACCTGCGGCAATGTGCGGAGCTGGCGGCAAAGCCGCGTTTTAACGCACCACCTACCTCCTACGAAGCAGCTAAGCTGTGGACGGAGTACCGCCAGCGCTGGAGCATGTGCCTCCAGCGGGCGCAGGCCAATGCCCTCCGCACCAAGACCAACGAGGCCTTGGCGGCGGACGAGCTCGGCTTTCGGGGACCCATCATCCCTCTTAGTGAGGGACAACTGCACCAACTGATTGAGCCCCCGTTCGACCAGTAGGGTCGGACAGAGGGGGGGGGCGGGAGTGAGGTAGATAGGTTACCGGTTGGCGTCTCTGTTTAGCTTGTGTGTTTGCATCTCCCTTTGTACCACACCTTAAGTAATGCAAGGACCATTCGAGAAAGAGAGAGAGAGAGGTATTTACTCATACAATGCCACCTGTGTGCGACCGGACACAGTGGGCATCGTATCAAAGCACAATCATACAATGCCACTCTACTCTTCGTGCGAGTCACAGAAGCCTCTCACCCTGATGTTACAAACATCTATCCTGAATCTCCATCCACCCAACAGGCAGGGCAAGCAACGGTGTGTGAGGCGCGTCAACACTCACCTTAAAAGTGTAAACACGTTTTTGGGAGTCCCAGTGAGCGAGGAGGAGGCGAGGCATGAGGAGGTAGAAAAGCATTTCGCCAGCAATGGTGATGCTCAGCTGTGCAATGGCGCGGTGCTCACACTTGTTGGTCAGAGTGATCTGCACAAGGACGAGGCGAGTGCGGGAGATGAGTTTTTTTGGCGCCTAAAAAAAAATCTGTGCTACGACGCGCTGCTCACACTTGTTGGTCAGAGTGATTTGCACAAGGGAAGAGCGCGCGCGGGAGATAAAAGGGGGTGGGAAAGGAGGGAGGGATCCCACATGCCGTTGAATGGATGTGCTTTTGTGGGAATGGGAGGAGAAGGGATAGGAGGGAAAAAAAGAGGAGGAAAGAAGAGTGAAGGAAAAGAGAGGAGGAAAAGTGAGAGGAGGAAAAGAGAGAGGAGGAGAAGAAAGAGAGCTATGTGAAATTGGACGAGGGAAGCGGAGGAGGGCATGGAGTGTGGGAAGACCTCAAAGGAGTGCAGAGAGCTGGGAGAAGGTGACAGGAAAGGCGTTCTATAATAACCGCAATTATGTAGAATTACTGATAGTTATAGTAATGGTAGCAATGGCATTAGTAATAGCAAAATTTATAACATTAATAGTAGTTGTTACTATTATTCCCAGAAACCCCTTGCTACAAGAAGGGGTGGGAGGGATGACCTCGAAGGGGCGCATAGGGATGTTTGAGGAGGTGATGGGGAAGAGGTAGTCATAGATGTATGTCCCCAACGCCACTGCTGCCATGGCACTGCCGTCCCTGCACTCTGCAACGTGGGGGATTGGGGCACGGGACAGTGGGGGAATGTGGGGATTGTGGCATCTGGCTGGGGACGGGAGCACATGGGGAGGGGAGCACATGGGGATGGGCGCACATGGGGATGGGCGCACATGGGGATGGGCGCACATGGGGATGGGCGCACATGGGGATGGGCGCACATGGGGATGGGCGGACGTGGAAATGAGCGAACGTGGGGATGTAGAGATATGAGCGGACAGTTGCATGGGGATGTGGGGTGAGGAGAATAATGGGATTATGGGGGAATGTGGGGGTGATGACGTCTCAGCCTAATAGAAAGAAGAAGGAAGAGGAGAGAGAAAAGAATGGGGAGAGGAGCACAGCAAGCATGTATGCCTGAATGAGAAAACGTGAGGGCAGAGGGAAGAGGGGAGAGGGGAGAGGGGAGAGGGGAGAGGGGAGAGGGGAGAGGGGAGAGGGGAGAGGGGGGAGGGGAGAGGGGGGAGGGGAGAGGGGAGAGGGGGGAGGGGAGAGGGGAGAGGGGAGAGGGGAGAGGGGAGAGGGGAGAGGGGAGAGGGAAGAGGGGAGAGGGGAGAGGGGAGAGGGGAGAGGGGAGAGGGGAGAGGGGAGAGGGGAGAGGGGGGAGGGGGGAGGGGAGAGGGGAGAGGGGAGAGTCCAAGGTAGAGGCAGCGCGAGAGTAGGTCACCTGGCGGGAGGTTATTGACTTGCAGCAGCTGCCGACCAACCCCATCAGAGGGGAGTGGCGGTGGGGCTACCACAGGCGCGTCCGGAGTCACCTCACTCCAAGCCACGGCCCCATCAGAGGGGTACGACAGGTGAGAGAGGCGCGAGAGGTGCGAGGAGTGGGAGAGGCGAGGGGGGTGCGAGAGGTGATAAGGATGAGCGGGGTATGAGAGACTGGTACTGTTGGTGGCTATTACCGGTGGTCCTTCCACACTCTCACCACTTCTCCACGTCTCCCCTCTCTCCCCATTGCCCGCTCGTAACGTGCGTCTCACCACCTGTTGCCTCGACCACGCCCGCGCGTCTTCCTCCACCGCCTCTTCCCCAGCATTTCCCCCCTCTTGCTGCCCGCTGCGCTCAAAGCTCCTCTCTCCGCGCACTAACGTCCCCCGACCTGGTTGTGTTCCCCCCGAAACTGCTTCTCCCGCCGCCCCCGCCAGCATCAGCACCACCGCTAGGGCGCGCCAGGGCAGGGTGGAGGAAAGCGCGCGCTCGTGCAGCGGGGAGAGCGCGCGAGCGCGCACCGTTGAAATGGCGGAAGCCGCCGGCGCGGAACAGTGGGCGGAGGTGATGCATGAGTGGCGGCACTCGGTGTGACTTGGTGTCACGCGGTGGCAGGGAGGAACTGTGGTGGGTTCATTATCAGCGTCGTCGCGCCTCGCGAGCCGGGTCGCGACGCAGACCGAGCGCCGCATTGTAGGCACGCGCGCGCTGAACGGGTACTTCTCCTTCTCTCACGCCTCAAGTGCTTAATGTGAATTTAAGGGGGCTGGGGGAAACAAACGAGGAGCTTTCCTCGCGTTTCCAAACTCAGAGCGAGTACGAGCGGGATGGGAGAAAATGCTAGCTCCGGGGATGCAAGAAGCTCCAATGCGGCATAGCGGCAGCGCGGCGGCGCGGCGGCGCGGCAATGCGGCAATGCGGCAATCACGTGGAAGAACGGGAGAGGGCAGGAGGCCTCAGAGGCGCGAAACTACTACTCTGTCCTAGCCTCAGCCTCACGACCACACACGGCTAAGGAGGACTCAGGGCTCGGGCTGGAGGGGACTGACGTGATGACAGGTGCGAGGAGCTTTGGTAAACGGGGGGCCACAGCGCAGAGAGCGAGGGCGTGTTGTGCGTGCACGTTACGTTATGATTGTGCATGGCTGTGAAGAGGTGTGGGGTGAATGGGGAAGTTATATATGGCTGTGTGTTACGGGTGCAATGAATCTAGGTAGCTAGGATTGCACCAGGGCCCAAAATTGGTTCAGGCCTAAAATAGGTTTAGGCCTACCCTTACAAATCAGGGTTCCAGCACCTCCTTGAACACACCCCTAGGGTAAATTTTCCGTATCCTGTTTGCAGCAGGGTAAATCAACCAGTAGACTGATTTGAGCAGGGTAGTTTTAGGCCAAGCCTGTTTTGGTTTCCGTTTTGTGAGCTAAGTTCTTTATAAACACATAATAACGTAACACATCCAAAGTCCTTGAACTCTACGGAAGCCACACATTCACTACGCACCTACTCAGTGCCACCCCCACTGCCTACATCTTCTACAAACTGTGTCTGCGAAGCTCTGGTGGGGTCGAACTCCTTGGTGGATCGCCTTAGCTTCTCTCCACGGAAGATAGCGACCACCTCAAACCAGTCGACATCGTAGCGCAACAGGGAGCAACGCATCAGATGCTCCAGGCTTGTGTCGCCAAGGCTGCCACGTCCCCAAGTCTTGATGAGATTCTGCTTCGAGAAGCCACGCTCGCACTCAACCGTGCTCAATGGCAGCACGGCCACTGACTGCCACATCCGCATGATGTTGGGGAAGGAGACACGCCATGCATCATCCCGCAGCATGTTCGTCAGCGTTGGATAGAATTCTTCATTGTTGTGCTGGGAGAACATTGTGGATGTAAACATCGACAGCTCCTGCTGGGCTCTCTTGTAGTCAAACCCTGTGGTTTAGGCGGGGTTCGGGTGAAAGCTTGGCCGATGCTCGCAGACACGGGTAGGAATGGGGGGCATTAGTCCAACAAGCAACAGTCTGCAGTATGTGCATTGGTCAACCTCATGCCAGACATCGTTGCGACAGCACATATCATAACATGTGCAAGCGCTGCACAAGGCTCACCTGGTAGCTTATGGTGGTACAACTTGTGCAGCTGGCCGAGCCACTTCTTGAAGGTTTCCAGTCGCTTCGTGTCGTCGAACACGTACGAAGCTGTGCGAAACAGTTTTGAACCTTCCAGCAGCTCCAGGTCGCGCATCCGCCACTCCAGCTCGGCATTCATGGCGCGCACATACTTAATCGACAGCTTGACGCACGCCGTGACATCGCCATCCGTTTCATGTCCTGGCAGCGGGCGCTCGTGCAGCGTGAACTCAAACGTGACGGGACTCCCGTCCCCGTCTACACCCTCCGCCTTCATCTCGCGCTTATCCTTTGCCCCGTGCCTCTGAATGAACTCGGGAAGCTGCATTTTCTCCCCGCTGCCGAAATGGTGTGCAGGGTCGCGGAGGGAATACTGCGACTTCAGACGCATCCTTGTCTGCTGCACGATGTGCGCAACAAGGGTAACGTCCACCTGCACAAGGGCATGACAACGAGTTAGGTAGTACACGTGCTTGCATGCGACAACATAGACGACAACAACAAAGGCCCTTACCTGGCGCTGCTGGAAGCTCTGGTTAAGGTAGTTAAGTTCCCAAAGCACATCTGCAAGAAAGCGGATGAGCCAGTGGAACTTGAACAAGGTAACCACCTCGTACAGATCCGCCTTGTAATCCTTCATCACCACTATGGCCGCAGGGAGCACGTCGAGCAGGCGCTATATCGCTTCACCACGGGCGAGCCATCGGGTGTCGCTAATCCCCTGCGCCTCGATATTCGTCTGGCAGAAGATCCGCTGCATCTCTTGAAACTTCGCGTAGTCCACGCTGCTGCGGCCGATGTGGTCAGCGAAGGCACGCACGACATCATTGATCATTAGCAGCTCAGGTACCTCTTCAGCAGCATCACTGGCAGCGAGTGCCTCCCTGTACTTAACGGCAACACGAGAGATGGTTAGTCAACATCAATACTTGTTAAAACAGCAGCACGGAGCACACAACAGTGATGCATACCGATGTGCGATACAATGTATTGAGGCCAGATGCGGAATGCGCATGCGAAGCCGTGTCACGATTCCTCGGTTCTTGCCGACCATGACGCTGGCACCATCGGAGGCGACGCTGGATACCTTCTGGAGGTCGGCCCCGATACCTGTCAAGTACTGCACGACAGCGGATGTGAGTGAGGCACCGTCACAACGGTCAACAGTAATGAGTGTCAAGAACTCTTTAACCACCGTGGTGCGCTGGAAGAACGTGGCGTATAGAATGAGGTGTTTCCCATTCACACGGTCCATACTCTCGTCGAGTTGAATCCCTATCTACGGGGATTCAAGCAGGTGCAGGCGCTGTGTCTCTTGGAGGTACGTTGAGAGGGCGCGCAAGTTCTCTTTGAAGCCGTAACTGCCAGGGGACAACAGAGGTGGTCATACTCCAAAGTGGATAATAAAGAACACACCAGTATCACCAAGTCCCCTAAACCCCTTTCTCTGTGTAGTACGCGCCGTAGCCGCCAGCGGGAGGAAGGTCTGGTAACCCCTCCTTCGCCAAAAACCAACACAGCGGAACGAACATCGCTATGGGTGCGTCTGCCTTGCAGACAAAGTGCGCGATGTGGAGGAGCCGAATGATGTGACGAGTGGAAGTGTTCGTGGTCTGCCATTGTGTGATTGTGGCTTGCTTCGCCTTCTCCGCCTCCGCCTTCTCTTGATTCTCCAACGACTGCTTGTGTGCACGGGTCGAGGAGTGAGTGCGGATGCTGCCAATCTGGAGATCGCGAGCACCCTCACCCTTCGCCGCGTACGCGGTGTGCGCTAGTGGATCTCCATGCTTCACACAAATCGCACACTTCAAAGACGGACGGCCGTTAGACACGCGGAGAAAATGTAACCACTTGAAACTACCTGCCCACTGACCCTCAAACGTCTTCTTCACCGATTCATACTCAGCATCCGCCAGAGCGGTGGGTGGCTTCGGATCGGCCGACGGAGCAGGGCGCTTGTGGGAAGTAGCGTTTCGGGGGGGAGGGGCGCCCCAGAGCGTCTGCTGCTTGTATGCAACTCCCACGCGCGGTAGCTTGACGGGCGCGGTGCTGGCCGTCGAAGGCGAATCTGTAGGCGGCTTTGACGAGCCCTCGCCACCTCCGGGAACTAATTCAATGTCAGGATGTGGCTCCCACGCCGTGGGTGAGTCTGGTGGCTCGAACGGATAAGCCGTTCCTACCACACATTCTGGTGATCCCTCACGAGGTGGCGGCTGAGCGATGGGCACGGCATAGTTCTCGCTAAGGCGTGGTAAAGTGCCCAGCACAGAGAGGCCGTTTCTCGCGCCATCAGGAGGATCGGGCTCTCCAGTGGGCATTGTGGAGCTGAAAGTTGAGAATGGTTGAGAATGAGGGCCAAGCGAGAGACCCCCTTGTAGAGAACGAGCCTCTAGCTGCCTCTCAAGGGCCGTTTCTTCCACGCGGCAGGAAGTGTATGGCCAGCAAGGCAGGACTGCTGCTGCAATTTGTTGTTGGTGGTGGGCGTGGCGACGGGTGGCAAGATTCGAGAATGAGTTGGCAGTCCTGCGGGAGAAACAACAAATGAGGCAACATGGCGCGTTGCCGACAGCGAAGCGATTTTTTTTGCGCGTGGTCACAAGCGACAACCGGTGTTTGTGGGGGTGTGGTACAGTTTGTCACGACGCGGACTGTGTTCCGATTCGCGATAGGAAAGTTTCGATAAAAGGGTAGTGTAAACCAAACCCTGATTCCGTCAGGCTAACCTGAAATCCTATAAGGGTGAAATAAAACATGCTCTTTTTAGAGAAGGGTAACTATCATGCGTTCCTGATTTTGGCAAGGTAATCTTGAAAAAGCGGCCGGTCCCCAAGGTAATCAGGGCGTTTTACCCTGATATTTTGGGCCATCGATTGCACTAGAGTGTCAAACGAGTACAAAATATGAGCGAACATTTATACGCGAAACATGCAAACGATAACGCGGTGCGTGTGAGCTAGCTAGTGCTAGGCTGGCATCGAGGCTCGAGCTAGTCCCGAAGCGTAGGCCGACACGGCCGGGCCGGCGGTCCATGGTTTGGTGAAATAGTGCGCACAAAGTTGGCGAAGTCCCATCAGCGGCTGCTGTGTATGCGATGTTGCAAATCGCGGTAAGGAATGTCGAGAAAATTCCTTACACTAAACCCCCCTTCAAGAAGCCCCCTTCCCTTATGCGAGTACGTGTATATCGCAAAAACCCCGGCTCCTCAAGTACACTTGCAGGGCAGGGTGGTTTTCAATGTTGGCCAGGGGCACCCAGCTGTCTTCAATTGGCGTGCGGTCCTTCTAGCGAATGAGGAACTCGATCCTCTTGATTCCT